ATTCGCTGATCTCCCCTGGCGACTCCGATGCCATTCGGAGTGGGAAACTTCATGCATAGGTGCTCCTGGGATATCGCACATCTGAGGTCTTCCAGGCCCGGCCTTCCCATGATGATCTTATGCGCACAAGTTAGGCGTACGACGATAAACTCGACGTCTAACTTGGATACGCAGGGCTCGGAGCCCACCATCAAGGGGAGGACTATGCTGCCCTCCGACTCAATGGAGTCCCCGGTGAAGCCTGAGAGTGGGGTTCTCACCGGGATCAAGTCTTTTCGGTCCAGCCCGAGACCTTGGAAGGTGTCATAGTACATGATGTTAACGAAGCTCCCATTGTCCACCAGGACTCGGTGGACGATCGTGTTGTTGATTTCGACCTTGATGACCAAGGCATCCCTGTGCGGCGGAGGCATCGATGGCAAATCTGCGTCAGTGAAGAAGATGGGGTCCCTCTTCACCCTCTTGTCGGCGGGAGCCCTGGTTATCTCCCCGACCGACGTATAGGGCTCGGGCCCACTGCTTCCGCTCTCCAGAGGTGTCGCCTCCCTGGGGTCCCCCGAATATGAACGAACATCGATGGTACTTCCGGGGGCCGCTCCCTAGGTCGGCATCGTCTTCCTCGGAGAAGGCGCCGAGCTCCCGCTTCTTGGCAGGCGGTGTCTCCTTTGACGTGGTAGCTTGGTCGGACCGCTGCCACGTCAGGCTCCTCTTCTGCGGGATGCCTCCTTGTTTGACAACGAATTGGCCCAGGTACCCTTTCTGGATGAGTTCTTCAATTTGCCGCCGGAGAATGACGCAATCATCTGTATCATGCCCTGCTCTCCGATGGAATCGACAATATTGGTCGTGGTTGCGCTTAGCAGTCACCACATCACACTCCTCCGGAAAGTCGACTAAACCTTGCTCCTCCGCGTAGTCGAGGATGGCCCTGACCGGCTGAGCAAGTGGAGTCAATTGCTTGACGGGCTGTAGCGGTCCGCTCGGGACGTCCGCCTTGCCCTTGCCTCTACTTTTGTTACCTCTGTACTTGTTGTTTTTGTTGCTAGCTTTGCCGTCAGCTTTCTCAGCACCCGAACCGGCTTCCTTATTCTTTTCTTCTTTTGCACCTTCTTCCTCATCTCTTTTCCTCTGCAAGGCGTCTTCCGCCTCGGCTTGCCGGTCGGCACGGCCGAGCGCCTCCTCGTACGAGGTGGGGGGACTTCTGACGAAATCTTTGTAAAGCTCGCCCGATCGGATAGAGTTTGTGAGCATGGCCATCCCGGTCCTGTCATCAAGGCCCTGAACCTTGACTGACTCGGCCCTCCACCTCGCTAGGAAGGTCGACAATGATTCCTTCTTCCCCTGTTTTAGGCCGAATAGGTGGCTGAAGTTTTTGTTGACGTCTCGGGAGCTCGCGAACCTCAAGAGAAAGCGCTGAGCCAACTCACGGAAATTCGTGATACTCCCGTCGGGTAGAGAGTCATACCATTCACGAGTCGGGCCATCCAAAGTGGCGGAGAAACCACGGCATCGGATGGCGTCCTCGTACCCCATCATGACCATGTAGGAAAGGTACCGAGATACATGATGCTGGGGGTCAGAAGCGCCCTTGTATGCTTCAATGGCGCAGGGCTTGTAGCCCCTCGGCAACGGCGCATCCATGACCGCCCGGGTGAAGGGTTCGGGTATCCGGAGGTCGGCCGTGTAAGGCTCCCCCCCGACGACCCTCCTTCTCAACTCGTCAAGGCGCTGTCGTAGATCTTCCACCTCGGCCGGCGGTGGGTTCCCCCGGACAGCTCCAGCGCGGGGCTGGGCATGTCCGGCGGCACCTCCAAGTCGTCCGTGCACGTGAGGTCGGGGCCCCACGTTTTGCCTCTCCGGGGAGCCAGTCCGACTGCTCGCCCGGTGAGAGTGGCGAGAGGGCTCGCCTCCTTCCATCTGCGTTGGGCGCCCCTGCTGGGCGCCCCTCCACGTCTGCCGATGGGGTCGGCTAGGCTGCTGAGAGACTTCTTCCCCCCGCCGATGGGAGACTTCTCCCCCCTGTTTTGGTTGGATCCAGAGCGTCGCTCATCACGCCGCCTAGAGGACACCTCCACATCCGCTGGCGTCTGTTGATGGGCAGGCTCATCCACATTTCCGCCAGACACCATTTGTTGGAAATTTTGAGCCAAGGTCCCCAGAACCCGAGTTGCCTCCTGCAGGGCTTCCACCCCAGCATTGAGTCGAGCCGGGTCCATGCGCGGAGCATGACGTCGGCCTCCCCCCCGCCGGCTGCGGACCGAGCGCTCACCTTGGGTGTGTTTGAGCGTCGCCCTTAGGTCGTCGTGGCCTGATAATTGGTTCCGAAGGTCGCCTTGGCGCGCCACCCTCCTGCCCTGTGCATGGTTGTCGAGGGCACGCTGGCGGCCAGACCGGGCGGACTCCTCGGTGTGGACTGAGACATGGTCACGTCGAGACGAGATTCCGGCCATCTTCCTGTGTGATTCCTACTCAAGTTATATGAGAGACAATAGAGGCTCTCAATGAAAGCACCAATGTTGGTCCAAAATAGGACGCTCGTAGGCTTTTAGGAAAGCTACGTAAGAACACTCAAGCAGGAATTAGGAAAGTACGAATATGGAAAGTTAGCCAGAAATAGCATATCTGTATTTGAAATTCGAATTGCCTTTTATAGGCGATTACAAATGGTAACTGCCGAACATAATAATGACTAAATTAATTACAACATTAATACGGAATTAAACACATAATTAAGTCGTGCATTGATTGTTGGTCGTTACTCTTCCTGGCTGGCAGGTCAGCCTGGCTGGCAGGCTGGACGCTTGAGCTCCCTCCTGCTGGACTGGACGGTAGGCTTCCCGCTAGGCTGGAGGAAGGCTTCTGACCGGGCTGGAGGCAGGCTCCCGGGTAGGCTGGAAGGCAGGCTCCCGGGTAGGCTGGAAGGCAGGCTCCCCGTTGGGCTGGAGGCAGGCTCCCACCTGGGCTGGACCGCAGGCTCCCAGCTGGGCTGGACTGCAGGCTCCCAGCTGGGCTGGTGGTCGGCAGGCTCCCCACTGGGCTGGAAGGCAGACTCCCCACTGGGCTGGAAGGCAGGCTCCCGAGTAGGCTGGAAGGCAGGCTGCTGACTGGGCTGGTAGGCAGGCTCCCTGCTGGGCTGGACGGCAGGCCGCCCTGGGCTTTCACTCTTTGATGGGCCTGATCGGTTGGGTCGGAATGAGTTCTGGATCATTGGGCTTGGGCCCGTTGGTCCAAGTCCGGGGCCTGGGCTGATTAGGCTCTGGACCTAGTCCCATAACCCCATCACACACACACACACACACACACACACATATATATATATATATATATATATATATATATATATAGAGAGAGAGAGAGAGAGAGAGAGAGAGAGAGAGAACTTATCATATCCGAACATTCGGACAGGAGGCACAGTCCGAACACCGCCATTCGGGGCGGTCCTGGTGAAAGTTTTTGATTAAATTTTTATGGTGTATTCTTCATCAAGTCTAGTTTATACATACCAAATTTCAGCTCAAAATTAGATCGGGAAGGCATTCAAATGATTTTTTGAATTTGACTGCACCAAATTATACATACAAAAACGCAGTGAACTTTAAAAAATCATTTAAAAGTTTTCCCGATCGAATTTTGAGCTGAAATTTGGTATGCATAAAATAGACTTGATGAAGAAGATACCATAAAAATTTTATCAAAAACTTCCACCGGGAACCTCCCCGAACGGCGGTATTAGGACGGTGCTTAGTCCAAACGTTCAGACCTGAACATTCTTGTGTGTGTGAGTGTGTCTATATATTCAACTTTATAAATTCAATATTGGTGTCATATGAAAGAGGATAAAAAGTTATGAAATTTGATATATTTTTTATAAAAATTAGAATATGAATAAAAAAGATATAACACATGAAATAGAATTGGGATTATAATTTGACATGGACCCATATCATTTATGTTCCAATAATTTTTTCTTTTCAGTTTCAACTTTTTTGTTTTCAATTATCTTTATTTATTTCACTTTTAGACTATTTTCATCTCCTCTCCATTTAGATTAGAACTCACGATCCGTAAACGGTAGATGTATAACAAAGTTTCACTCAACAGCTTCTATAAGAGAATCACATTTTGATCTCTAAACTTGGTGAATGGATAAATAATAGAGTTTCACATTTATTCACTATCTAAACTTTATATACATAACTCTATATTCTATTGCTAGAGAGAACCCTATATTTTTATCTCAACATTATTTACCAAATACATAACTTTTGATTTCATGTGTTGAATCGTGAAATAATCAAAATAAGATAGAAAATCCTTTTTCAACACATTCAATCTGTTCAACCAATTTTAGTTTTCCTAAAATATTATGGAAATTAAACTTATGAATAAAAGTGTAACTAAAGTTATTATTAGTATAACATCATTCTCACTATAAAATTGAACATAATTATAGTAACTAAAAATTATTAATATGTTAACTACCTCAGTACTTATAAGATGTCATTTTCTGAAATATTATTTACTGTCAGATCATACTCTCATATTTTGACATTGAGATATCCTAAAAACGACAATAATTACTCATATTTAGAAAAGAGATGTAATACTCTTACTTTGAGTTTTACATTACTTTTACTCTTATCTAGAACAATTTATTGAAATAGTGGGTGAGGAGTACATTTCTCCCCTCAAAAGACTATATTTACAGCAATTTGGATAATTCGGGGATAACATTTACAATCTCGAAAATATGGGTCTGACGTTTCAATATGGTGACTATTTCAGGGACTAAAAGTGCGATTTTCCCTTTATTATATATAAAGATGATGACAAACATATGACTGAACTAAAATGATGGACAAAAATATACTTCATCTGTCCCATAGCACTTTGTCAACTTTTCTTTTTTATTTGTCCCAAAAACTTTATCACTTTCCTTTTAACGCAATGAATTTGTGGCTCTGTTCATTTCTCTTTCCTCTGCATAAACCTCAACCACACAGTTTTTATTTTTTTGATTCCACACCCAATATGAAGTTGACAAAGTTGGGTGGGACGGAGGCAAATATAATTTAATATACAATGACCATGACAATAACCATACTAGTAACCTTAGCAAACATGTTTATGTTTATTTTTACATTGCACTAATTATAAGAGTTTTACTCGTAGTAACTGTAGTAATTTTGTCCATAATAAGATATTTTAAGATGTCCCCCTCAATATAATTCATTATTATCAGCAAGCATTTTAGAGTTTGAGGCAGGGCTGTAGGACTGATAAAAATAGAGTAACCCTTGTACTATTTAGGAGGCTGCTTCATGAACTTCTTTAAGGATGTATAGCAGCATTCTGCAAATATCCTCAATCTTGCTGTGCTCAATACCTTTTCCTATATACTCGCTAAAATGAGATTGGTACTTATCATGCTCACCTTCCACCAAACCCTACATGGCACAAGTAGAAGGGTGAATTAGTTTTGATAACAGCAAACTAGTTTTGGACAAGTAGTACAAATAAATAGCTTATAGCGATGAAGATACAATTAAGTAATAGTGTCAAACCAACCGAGGCTCAAGTACATTTAAATATTGGTTAAGGATGCACAACATAAAAACTTGTCTGAAAGACAAAAAGATGCACAATACCAATTTCTTGGTCAAGGATTATGCACAATACCAAAATGAAAAATCTTTGAGTGTGAACTTTGCAGGAAAAGGTTGATTCATGTCATGTGATATGACTAAGTGATATTGTTGGCCGAAAGGTTGATATTCGTGAAAAAATGTTCCTTTCGAGGCACTATATAACATGATTCCATTGTTCCTACAAAACCAACACCAAGAAGAGAATGGAAAGGCCTTCTGCTTTCAGCAGGTTCAACAGAGTAGTCTTCCCCAGTAGCATGTAAGAAATAATGTGCCAAACATAATTAACGGATAACCAAGAGAGTGCTCTTTGCCATTACCACTCACCTCAAAAATTCATTCTTAGACTCTTAGTCTCCATCCATTTCAAGTTTTTGAGATCTCAACGACCCAAGGGAAGCACAGTGCAGTGGGGAGAATTTAGTAGCACAACTGAAGCTAATAAACAGTTACGAGCGAAAGAAGAAACAGACATGCAAATGTAGATCATGGTGCATGCGGCAAAATTTGTAAAATAAACAATGGCTAATACTATTAATGAAACCATGCATTGATGCATGTAAATTTTACATAATTACAGTTTATGGAATCAATAAAAGTCCAACAACAATTTTTGAGCTATTTGTCAATCAACAAATTCCACCTAAACATCCACCTAAATGTTTGTTAGAAAATCCAGTTTATCAGGTTAAGTTAAATATGTGTAACAAACGGACAGAAAGTCTAGAGCTAGAATGAACCAATAGTGTTTTTTCTCAACTCTTCTTTATAATAACTAGTATTCCACCCGACACCCGTGCGTTGTAAATGTAAATAAATAAATATGTACATTTGTGAACGTATAGAATTAAAGAACTCCTTATACTTATAGATTACATTGTTTCAAGACTTTTTTCATATTTTCTTCTTCATTGCATATCACAAAGTTTAAACCAATAAACTTGTCACCCGTTTAACTGAACGAACATATCACCTTGGAAATGTTGCATATCACAAAATTTAAGAATGATCCGTAAATAGATAAATAGCACAAGTAACATACCGTATAAAGTATATGAATATTTGATAAAATATTTAATTTTAGGAATAAAAATTGACAATCATACATAATCAGTAAGGGGCTCAGGGTCAATAATCTAAATTGATTTTATTCTTTTGGTAAATGAAGTAAAAAATTATGACTCAAATTGTCACTATAGAGCACAAAAAATACAACTGGGAGGAAACAAAAGAGAAACTTGTCTGTTGCATAAAGAAACGACTCCTCTCAAGCAATAGAGATGCTATTATTTAAAAGCCCTGCATCAAGTTTCTAAATTCATCCGCGATCAGCGCGCCCAAATTTCCCTCCCTTCAGAATAGCTCAAACAACCTACATACATATGATAAACATCTTAATTTATCTTTTAGAGTCCCTTTCACACTATTAAGATTAATCCCTTGCATATTTATTAAGAAAATTTTAAAATACTGCTTCCCTTGATTCTTTAATGGACTTCTTCTGATTTCTGTAAGTATTTGAATACATGATAAAATTGAGAGAGGCGTGCACAACCAATAAGTTTTAATAATCTAAATTAAGTTTTAAATCTTTTTTCTACATGCTTAAACTCCCTTACAGTTAATCTAAGATAGTTTCAATCTAGTAAAAATCTACTTGATGTGTGAGATTGTTTCACTCCAGTCAAGAACTTGCTGGATTACATGGTGGGATAGTTCTAAAGAACTCACAACAAAGTATTTCCTTTGAACATTACAACTTCTTTAAAGACCTTCACGACACTATCTTTAAGAAGTCTGTTCAAACTGATCTCTAAAACCAAAGCTGAAATTCAGCAGGCGCCTCAGCAGGTGCCTCGACAATTCTCTCACTTTCACCCAACTGCTGAGACTTCTGCTCAAGCAAAACACCTTATTATTTCCAGCTCAGCACATATCCAGAAAGCCCTCATAATTCTGCATAAGGTCATATAATCATCTATCCCAAACTCCTATTTTTCCTGAGCAGTTGCCTCAGCAGTTCCCTGCTACCTAGCCCACTGCTAAGCCAACTGCCAAGCCAACTGCTAGCTATCCAAGCCTAATCTTCTCCGAGTAAGAAAGTGGTTACATACTGATTACTGAAAGGGTAAACACTTCCGCTGTGCATCTGTAAATCTCTCCAAAGATTATAGATTAACCCTTTTAGAGGGAAAACTTTTAAAAGTTGAAAAAGATTTAAAAGTCTATTCACCCCCCCCCCCCCCCCCTCTAGACTTTTACCCTATACGGGACCATCATAATGTATTCAAAATTTAAGCCAATCTTCGTAACACGGTTGATTTAGTAAACTTGAAGAGTATGCACCTGAGTGAAAGACGTATATCTTTGTTTCTATTAATAATTTGGACTTGAGTCCTGAAGAAGAATTGTGTATATTTACGATAGGAGCCCAACGCAACTCGTATTTCAGTATGCCCATAAAGTATTCAAAATCTAAGCCAATCTCCGTAACTGTTGAAGAAGAACTGTGTATATTTTACGTTAGAAACCCAACGCAACTCGTATTTTAGCATGCCCATAATGTATTCAAAATTTAATTCAATCTCCGTAACATGATTGATTTAGTAAACCTGAAGAGTATGCACCTAAGTGAAAGACGTATACCTTTGTTTCTATTAATAATTTGGACTTGAGTCCTGAAGAAGAATTATGTAAATTTACGATAGGAACCCAACGCAGCTTGTATTTCAATATGCCCATAATGTATTCAAAATTTAAGTCAATCTCCGTAACGCGGTTGATTTAGTAAACCTTAAGAGTATGCACCTGAATGAAAGACGTATATCTCTGTTTCTATTAATAATTTGGACTTGAGTCCTGAAGAAGAATTGTGTAAATTTAGGATAGGAACCCAACGCAACTTGTATTTCAGTATGCTCATAATGTATTCAAAATTTAAGTCAATCTCCATAACATGGTTGATTTAGTAAACCTGAAGAGTATGAGCCTGAGTGAAAGACATATATCTTGTTACTATTAATAATTTGAACTTGAGTCCTGAAAATTATTGTGTATATTTACGATAGGAACCCAACACAACTCGTATTTCAGCAAGCCCATAATGTATTCAAAATTTAAGCCAATCTTCGTAACACGGTTGATTTACTAAACCTGAAGAGTACGCACCTGAGTAAAAGACATATATCTTTGTTTCTATTAATAATTTGGACTTGAGTCCTGAAGAAGAATTGTGTATATTTACGATAGGAACCCAACGCAACTTCTATTTCAGCATGCCCATAAAGTATTCAAAATCTAAGACAATCTCCGTAACATGATTGATTTAGTAAACCTGAAGAGTATGAGCCTGAGTGAAAGACGTATATCTTTGTTTCTATTAAAAATTTGGACTTGAGTCCTGAAGAAAAATTGTGTATATTTACGATAGGAACCCAACACAACTCGTATTTCAGTATTCCCATAATGTGTTCAAAATTTAAGCCAATCTCCGTAACACGGTTGATTTAGTAAACCTGAAGAATATGCACCTGAGTGAAAGACGTATATCTTTGTTTCTATTAATAATTTGGACTTGAGTCCTGAATAAGTATTGTGTATATTTCGATAGAAACCCAACGCAACTCGTATTTCAGCATGCCCATAATGTATTCAAAATCTAAGCCGATCTCCGTAACACGGTTGATTTAGTAAACCTGAAGAGTATGCACCTGAGTGAAAGACGTATATCTTTGTTTCTATTATTAATTTGGACTTGAGTCCTGAAGAAGAATTGTGTATATTTACGATAGGAACCCAACGCAACTCGTATTTCAGTATTCCCATAATGTGTTCAAAATTTACGCCAATCTCCGTAACACGGTTGATTTAGTAAATCTGAAGAGTATGCACCTGAGTGAAAGACATATATCTTTGTTTCTATTAATAATTTGGACTTGAGTGCTGAAGAAGAATTGTGTATATTTACGTTAGGAACCTAACGCAACTCGTATTTCAGCATGCCCATAACGTACTCAAAATTTAATCCAATCTCCGTAACATGGTTGATTTAGTAAACCTGAAGAGTATGCACCTGAGTGAAAACTGTATATCTTTGTTTCTATTAATAATTTGGACTTGAGTCCTGAAGAAGAATTGTGTAAATTTAGGATAGGAACCCAACGCGGCTTGTATTTCAGTATGCCCATAATGTATTCAAAATTTAAGTCAATCTCCATAACACAGTTGATTTAGTAAACCTGAAGAGTATGCACCTGAGTGAAGACATATATCTTTGTTTCTATTAATAATTTGGACTTGAGTCCTGAAAAGTATTGTGTATATTTACGATAGGAACCCAGCACAACTCGTATTTCAGCAAGTCCATAATGTGTTAGACCCCTAAAGTTTGATAAAAGAGTTTTTGATGATGCCAAAGCTTTTCAAATGTTCCCCTTCTTTTGTAGCATTAGGAAATCAAAGTATGATATCTTGCTCCAACCAAAGTGCTAGTAAAATGGTATCCAAAAGTGTCCCATTTGAATTATCAATTAACAAATAAATATAAGTGGAAAAACATAAAAAGCAATAAGGTAATTTTTATTATCTTAAAAAGGATTTCTTGTAGATCCAACCAGTTAAATTTATTTGTTACATAAAAAAACTAAAACATTTCGAACCAAAAAACTATTTAACTGGAACACAAAATGTAATACGGTAATCATTTGTACCTTAATAGGATTTGTTATCCTACCAGTTAAATGTTTATTTATGTTTGAAATACTAGCTGGGCCAATCTCAACCAAGTGTGACCAAAAGTCAAAAGGAAAATGTTTGTATCAAATAAATTATACCGGCAAAGTCAAAATGCAATAAGCTAATTTTTACCTTAAAAAGGATATTTAAATCCTACCGGTATATATTTATTTGATCACAAACATTTTAACTAATCACAAAATTGAAAGGCACATTGGTATGAAATTCACATGTGTCAAACTAAGAACAAATGTAAAATTTCTAAGACTAATAAAATTAATACTGGATAGTAAAAATGCAAGGTAAATTTATTTGCCTTTAATAGGATATTCGAATCCTACCAGTGTCATTTTATTAGACTCAGAAATTATTATGTTCAAACAAAATTGCCTCGCGGTTAAACCAGAGCCAATCAAATTCCAGCATGAAGAGTCGAGACGTACAGCATGGGTGCGCTGTCTGTAGCCTAAAGAGAAAGCAACAGTGCCTAGGCGGGCAAGAAAAAGAACCCATAAGCTCCGAAGAAGAAAATAAACAACAAGTTTGTGATCACCGTAGATTGGCTCTAAAAAAAAGTAACCCAAAAAACTTAAGTAGTTAAAAAAACCTTTCAAAAGCTGAAATATAACCTGACCATATAAGTATAACAACTAATAGGGATTAATCAAACCTTATTAGAATAAAAACAAACTCTTTTTCATTCGATTAGTTGATTTAGCTGTAAATCTTTCACTTTTTCATGGTTGTGTGGTTGAATAACCATCCACACAAAATGTTAAGTGTACTGAACATTAATCTCACTACTCCCAATGGAATTCACCCCCTTAACTAAAACTTTCAACACTTGACTAGTTAACCTTCTATAAATAAACTCCTACCATGTCCCATATAAATACAGAAAACTGCCAAATAGGAGAAAAGTATAGGAAATTATAAGTTAACATTCTAAAGCTAAAATATAACTTGACCATACAACTGAAAGCTAAATGGGACTAACCAAACCTTTTTTTGTTAGACTGAAATATAACTTGAGCATATGACTTAAGTTTGAGAATTTCATATCCAATTGTGTGTGTATCCTCACCATTACATCTCAACATAAAAAAAAATAAAACAATTATATTTGTTAGACTGAAATAGAATGTTCTATGACTCTATCCACTCTAGACTTGAACTAAGTTTGAGAACGTCATCCATTTGAGTTTAATTAGTTTAGGCTGGAGAATTGGTGAATGATCAGTAAAATATTGTACCGGTTTTATGTATAAGTAGATTTGATGCAATGAAGCGTATTTGTGTCTGGGAGAATTTCAGTTTATTGCAAAGAGAAGTATAAGAAGGTTAGGATAATAGGAACTCCGTATTTAGTTCAATTAGGATAGTAATATCTGGGTGTGAATCTGATAATATAAGAGCAGCCAAGTAGCCTGTTAGGTAATGACAATAAAAATTCCAGAATTACATTTTTATGGTTTGAAATGTCCTGCCAAACCGAATTAAAAAACTTAAAAAGAAAAATTAATTAATTAGAATGGATATGGTACCTGAGTTGAAATGAAGTTGGAAGAGATGGAGGGCAAGAATTCCACCGCAAAACTCTTATAAACAGGCTATAAGAGTTTCCTTTGCACCAACAATTCTACCACACTACCAAAAAGCAGATATTAAGAGCATAAGCAAGCCAAGTTAGACTTTCTTTATAAAACTTTTATCATATCTTTTCTTGTCTACATGAACACCTCACAAACCAAGCATTTACCCACCTTGGGCATCATTGACGTCCTATGGTAGCAGCTGTCCTGCCCTGAGTTTGTTGCTTGTCCTGCCCCAAGAGGATGCCTGGTTTGATTTTTCTGGAAAAAATTATCTTGCCTGTGGAGTTGCTCAAATGAAATATAAGTAAAATGATAATATATCACCTAAGGTAATGAAATAATATACTATCGTATCAAACATAGGTCAACAAAGAGAAATTTCCATCAAACACATGTGAGTTTGGGGATTAAAGACTGAAGTATTCAAATACCAATCTAAAATGCATGAGAGAAATCAGGATAGAATATAATAGAGCTGAAAGTCTGAGAATTAACTCACTAATCTCATTAGTCCCTATGGAATTCACCCCCCTTAACTAAAACTTTCAATTCTTGACCCCTTAACATTCAGAAAGTTATAAACAAATTCATACCATGTCCCATAATATATAGAAAACTCAAAATAGAGGAAAATTCATACCATGTCCCATACAGAAAGCTATAAACAAATTGTTGTGTAACAAAAAAATAAAATACCGTTGCCCAGAGCCAAAAGGCTAAAACCAATTTTATTCCAAGATGCTAGAATGAACCCTAGCAAGGGATATAAATAGCCTTCTAAGAGAAACCCTAATCAAGCCCAAATTAATTAAATCCTAATTAAACCCATAATAACTCTACTAAGTACTCTACTAATAATAGGCCCAAAGTAAAACATAACATTAACTTAATAATAATAAATAAACTCTAATAACAGCCCTAACCAGACCCACAGAAGTAGGCCCAAGCCCGGTCCCGTCCCATGCTCTGCCCATTCTCTATCAATCCATCCTCCTTCAAAATAACCGTGTCCTCAAGGTTGAAATCTGGAAACCGGCTCACATTTGTCCCCGGGGGCTGCCCAATATCTTTAGGAAAAATTGAGATGTACTCCTCCACAGTCCCTGTCTGCTTGCCTCCAGGCAGCCGTTTAAAGCAATTGCCCTTAAACCGTGAGTCAAAACGAGTCACCAATGCCTGTGTAAGCTCATCCCATGACATGACCGGCTTTTGTGCCCGTAACCAGGTCAACCAATATAGGGCTGGCCCTTCCATCGCAACTACAACGGCTGACACCTTCTTTCCCGGCGGAGTACAGTTCAATTCGAAGTGTTGCTCATCCCTATCAACCCAGCTGATCAGTTCTTCTCCGTTAAACGAGGGCAACATCGTGAGAATGGTGCTGCACCGTCTAATTCCGAACGAGGATGTTGCTGCTGCTGCGTCAAGTGAAGCCACCGCCGTTGCATGCTCCTCCACCGCTGGCAGCGCAAGAGCCTCTGTAATCGCAGCCAAGGAGGAAGTGACGTTGCACGACTGTCTGTCGCTGCTGTGCGCAGATATGGTGGTGCTGCCAACCGTGTCCAGGCTTGTTTCCGTCGTGACCGGAGGAATTAACGCCTTGGTAAGCGCTGCCAGGGATGCGGCAATCTCTGCCAGACGCATGCCGTGCTCCTCTAGGGTTTGATTCATCCGAGTTTGCTTGGCGACCATCTCTGTCAAGCGGTCGATCTGAGATCTCATCATCCTGGCGGGACGGGATCCGGCATGTCGGAAAAATAAAATCAACGGGGTAAACCGTTGTCCAGATAATCAACGATAAAAAATACCGTTGCCCAGAGCCAAAAGGCTAAAACCAATTTTATTCCCAGATGCTAGAATAAGGGGTATAAATAGCCTTCTAAGAGAAACCCTAATCAAACCCAAATTAATTAAATCATAATTAAGCCCATAATAACTCTACTAAGTACTCTACTAATAATAGGCCCAAAGTAAAACATAACATTAACTTAATAATAATAAATAAACTCTAATGACAGCCCTAACCAGGCCCACAGAAGTGGGCCCAAGCCCGGTCCCGCCCCATGCTCTGCCCGCTCTCTATCACAAATTCATACCATGTCCCATAATATATAGAAAACTCACAACAACAACAACAACATCCAAGCCTTAGTCCCAAAAGATATTGGGGTCGGCTAACATGAATCGATACATGATATCACCCCCAAAAGGAAAAGAAAGGAAATAAAGATTAAAAAGATAAGCTATTATAAAAAGATAATATAAGAAGAGATGAATATACATAAAAATAATAAAATAAAAAGGATACAAATAATGCATATATATAAGGATAAAAAACAAGTAAAAAAGATGAGAGAAAAGATGATATGAGATCACTCCTCCACACGAATACCCGCTCTCCACTTAGCTCTCTCCAAAGTCATGCCCTCATCCAACCCCAGAAGAAGCATATCACTTCGAACTCCCCTAGCCCACGTCTGTTTGGGTCTTCCGTCTTCCTCTCCCTCTCTTCTCTGCCTCTTCTCCACACATCTCAACTCGTCTGACATGTGCATCACTCGGTCTTCTACGCACATGACCAAACCACCGTAGGCGCGACTCCCGCATCTTGTCTTCAATAGGTGCTACTCCGACCCTTTGTCTGATTGTCTCATTCCTCACGCGGTCCTTCCTAGTATGCCCACACATCCAACGCAGCATGCGCATCTCTGCCACATTAATCATTTGAATGTGACATTGTTTCACCGCCCAACACTCTACGCCATACAGTAATGCAGGTCTAATTGCCGTCCTATAAAATTTACCCTTCAGTCTAGTCGGCATACCTCGATCGCATAGAAATCCTACGCACTCTTCCACTTCATCCACCCTGTTCTGATTCTATGAGATACATCTCCATCTAACTCACCGTCCTGAATTATGGAGCCTAAGTAACGAAACATATCACTGACTGATATCTCCTTACCATCCAGAGTAATTCCACTATTACCATTGCTTCTACCTCCACCAAACTTGCACTCCATGTACTCTGTCTTGCTCCGACTTAGTTTGAAACCCTTATTCTCCAATGTTTGTCGCCATACTTCCAACTTTACTTTAAGACCTAACTGCGTCTCATCAATCAATACAATATCGTCGGCAAACATCATGCGCCACGGTATATCGTCTTGAATTGACTTCGTAAGTTCATCCATGACTATGGCAAATAAGAAAGGGCTCAGAGCCGATCCTTGGTGCACTCCGATAGTAATAGGGAACTCTTCAGCCTTCCTACACTAGTACGGACACTTGTAGTACAATCCTCATAAATATCCATGATGATGTTGATATACTTGCGTGATATGCCTTTCCTAGTTAAGGCCCACCAAAGAACTTCTCAAGGTACCCTATCATATGCCTTTTCTAAGTAAATGAACACCAAATGCATATCCTTGTGAGCATCTCTATACTTCTCCATAAGTTGCCGAAGAATGTGAATGGCCTCAGTTGTTGAGCGACCAGGCATAAAACTGAATTGATTCTCTGAAATCTTCACAGTTCTTCGAAGTCTTTGCTCAATCACTCGCTCCCAAAGTTTCATGGTGTGACTCATAAGCTTAATCCCTTGATAGTTGATTCATTCTTGTACATCACCTTTATTCTTAAATAAGGGGATAAGAAACTTGTTAACCACTCGATGCCTCTCTCTCCCAAACTTCTTCAAGCCTCGATCGGTATGCCATCTGGACCCACTACTTTCTTCCGTCCCATCTGCCTCAGAGCTTCTTTAACTTCCGTTGTTTGGATCCGTCTCACAAAATCACGATTTACCATACAATCTGGTATGGACAAATCACTAATATCTTGTGTTTTGTTCCCGTTGAATAGTGTATCAAAGTATGACCTCCACCTCTCTTTTATCTCTCCGTCGTCCATTAATATCCTTTGATCGACATCCTTCACACACTTAACTTTTGCAATATCTTGAGTCCTGTGATCACGAAGACGAGCAAGTCTATAAATATCTAGTTCTCCTTCCTTAGAGTCCAACTTTTCATACAGCTCCTTGTTCACTTTCCCTCGTGTTTCCCTTACGGCTTTCTTTGCTTGTCTTTTAGCCTCTTTGTATGCTTCTATGTTCTCATCACTCCAACTTGTCTCCAACTTTTTGTAGCAATCTCTTTTGTTCCTTATGGCTTATTTCACCTCATCATTCCACCAAGACATGTCCTTTTTAGGTGGCAGACATCCTTTAGATTTTCCAAGTACCTCTTTTGCCACTTTGTTAATGGTCAACTCCATTGATAACCACACATCATCTACATGTGTTTCATTATCAATACGCCATACATCTTCACCGACCATTTTGTGTGTAAAGCTTTGTTGAAGATCTCCCTCAAACCTCAAGCACTTTATCTTTGGCTCCACTTATTGTTTAACTTGTCTTCTATGGTTCTTACCTCGAAAGTCAAGCACAAGCATCCTATGATGAGTGACAACACTCTCACCTGGAATAACCTTACAATCAGTGTAGCTAGTTCTCCAAGTGGTCCGTACTAAGAAGTAGTCAATTTGGGTACTATTAGCTTTCAAAAGCAGAAATTCTAACCTCACCATACAACTGTAACCCCTAAAACGGATTAACCAAATTAAACTTTTTTGTTACTCTGAAATATAACTTGAGCAGAGAGCTGAAGTTTGAGAATTTCCTATCCATTAGGGTTTATATGATCACCATTACATCTCAGCATGAAAACGAAAAACTGTCTTGTTTGTTAGACTCAAATAGAATGTATTTTCCACTCTTGACTTGAAATAAGTTTTAAAATGCCATTCATTTGAGTTTATTTGTTAATGTGATATGACAATGATCATAATTAAGTTATCTTCTAAACATCTCATGGTAGTTAGTTTATCAGAAGATCCCGAATTTGTTATACAAAGGAAGCAAGAGGATTGGTTTAGTAAGAAACTTTCAATGAATAAAGGCCTCCGTAGAAAAGCAATGGCTGATTTTGATTTTTGATGCTATTTTAAAAAAAATGTGAAAATAAATAAATAAAACTACGAATAGAGGCTATAAAGCCATCCTGCAACCAAATTCAACTCACCTTCTTCCACTTAAATTATCAGACTTAGTTAAATAACTAACTATTTGGTAGGGCTAATCGAGTACACAGCTAGATTCTTAATGAAAACCCATTTAGTTTTCAGCCAAATAAATAACCAAAGCACACCCATATTGCTTATTCATATTATAAGCTTGATAAATATATAATACAATTGCAGATGCATAACAGTTTGTAAGTAACCTGTTTTTCACAAAATGCTTTTCCATTTAGGAAAATTAACATAAATTAGCTGCCGTTTTTTCACTAAAACTTATATGGTATAGCAAAAAAAATTACTTGGTAAACATCTATGAACATAAACAATTATATTGTGAAATAATTCTATTGGATAATGGATACCAATGTCAAAAAGGTACATATATAAAAAGCTTACCAACAAAACAAATAAATTGTAACTAATTTATATCCCTGAATGCAAAGATAACCTGCAACAAACTGTTTTGTCCCACCAGAGATGGAACCGTTGCCTGTTTTAACAATATGCTCCTGAGAAAAAATTACATTCAAAACAATAATCAGTAAAGTAACTATACATAGCGTAACACAGTAAAAGATAGGTCAGTGATGATCAAGCTTCCAATTGAAGATACAGCAGTGATGTGACTTATCTCCCTTTCTCCATGGTTATTTTTGTCCCAAAATTCTATAAGCCAGCTGTAATGGTTCTTAACACTAAAGTACACTCTTTTCACACATTCTGAGAAGGAAGGAATCTGCTCAAGCACAAGTGAAGTATCTTCTAGTTCAGGATAATAAAAATTAACTATTTATTCTTGTTCTCTCATAGATTCACACTCAAATGGACATTCTTCGTGGACTTTACTGTCTTGTAGCATCATACTGGTCCACAACACTAATAAAATAGGTTTCACACTTTCACCTAAATGTTTGTTTGAAAATCCGGTTTATCAGGTTAGGCCAAATATGTGTCTAACAAACGGACAGAAAGTCTAGAACTAGAATGAACCAATAGTGTTTTTTCTCAACTCTTCTTTATAATAATAATTTATATTCTGAAAGTGATATTTATTTCAGCACTCTACTCATCCAAACTGATTCTTTATACGAGACATCAACTTAGCACTAGCAGAATAGCTTGCAAAACGGGCATTCAAACACTTTCTTTTTGTTCTCTAAGCAAAGAAGTAGCTATTACATGAAAAATCTTCCTTCTCTGAATTCCTGAGGTAGACAGAAGAGACCTTAGATGTGAACAGGCATTGTGGACTTGCTTTTCTTGTAGAACATTTCTTGACATTTTCATTTGTGTTTGTAGAGTTAAAAAACATTTTTCTGCCATGACACCTCACACAGCTTGTCCATGGCTCCCTGCTAGTGAAAAATATAATATTTTGAAAAATCTTACAACACCCTCCACTTCCTAGCCCGAAAGATTTCTCAAGGAAGGGGATTCCTTGGATATCCTTAAGGACAGTAAGAAACAAACAAACAGATTATATCCAATCAGTACAACCAATTACCTTGGGTTGGATGAGAGTATCGCTTTGGAGAGAGCAAAGTGGAGGGAGAATATTCGTGTGGAAGATTGATCTCTTTTCTCTCTATTTTGTTTTATCTTTTTATCTTCTTAATTTTTCTTATGGTTTTTATCCTTATATCCTTTTTTTATTTTACATATTTTCTTTTTATCCTCATTATCTTATCTTTATTTTTATCTCATCCTTTGTTATCTTACCTTATCTTTTTATCTCTCTTATCTTCCTTTTCTTTTTGTCTCCGATATCATGTATCCATTCATGTTAGCGGATCCCAAAATCTTTTGGGACTAAGGCTTGGATGTTGTTGTTGTACAACCAATTACCTGCTAAGCATGCTGCTGTTGGACAAACTTATTTTCATGTTAGCAGTTTTTTAATAGTTGAAACTGGCCCAAACAGTAACGAGGCTAAACAACTTCCATTTTTCAAACAACAAAAATGTAGCATAAAGATCAAAGCGAATTCAGTTCATATTTACCATGCATTTCAAGGACCTTGGTTATAATAGCCTCAAACAACTGTGTGATTGTCGTAGCATTGAGGCAGGACGTTTGAGTCTAAGCTCATTGGTGCGCTCTCTAGTTCTAATCCAGCACTTCATCAGCCGTTACCAGCAAACTTTCTTCTCTGATGCTTCCATTTAATAAGCTTCTTATCTCTAATGGCATCATATAAGAGTTCATATGCATAATAGGTGATATGGTTTTTCTTTAGCAAGTCTTCAAGAACAATCTTGGGTGCTGCAACACTCTTTTTATCAGCTTCAAAAATTGTATGCACAACATCAGGAACGATGCCCTTGTGCACCATAAGGTGAACAGTATGAACTGCATCACGCAGCCTATGCTTCATGCATAGGCAATTAATCACTCGTCCAAATGTTGCGTGTGATGGCACTAACTCCCTTTTGATGTTGTCAAGGAGGAAGCGGTAACTGGAATCACAGTCTCCTTTGTTGCAAAAACCACCTATCATGCAACGGTAGGTATAGTTATCTGGGATACAACCTTTTTTACTCATCTCAGAGAATAAGCATTCAGCCATGTCCATTTTCAACTTCTCACAGAATGCATGTATCATAGTATTGTATGTTGCAGTCGTCTGAGCAAATTTATATTGCCTTTCCATTCTCCGGAACAACTCATATCCCCCACCCAAATCCCCATTTTCACAAAATCCATTAACCAATGTGCCAAAGACCACAACATCTGGAGACATACCCTTGCTTTCAACTTCCTCAAGCAAATCAAAAGCTTTTGTGTACTTTCTAGCTTTACACAGGCTGTCCATAAGTATATTGTAAGTGATAATGTTTGGACTACACCCCTTTTCTAGCATCAGTTCAAACATCTCCATCACTTCACCAGAACTTGAAGACTTGCAGAGGCCATTCAGCACTGAATTACATGTTATAACATCAGGAGCAATACCATATTCCCACATGGTGTTTAAAAATTCAATTGCATCAGCCATTTTTGACAGTTTACAGTACCCATCAATCAGTGTGTTGAAGGTGAAAATGTCAGGAAGAACCCCCTTGTTCATAGCGATATTCATGACATCAGTGGCATCTGATACACATCCCATCTTACACAATCCACTAATGACTGTGTTATACGTCCAAGAATCTGGTTCACATCCTTTTTCAGGCATCTCAGTCATTAACTGGAGGGCTTCCAAAATAAGCCCTTGTTGGGAAAGCCCTTTGATTAATGTGTTATAGAGAACTAAACTGAGCTTGATACCTTCCCTTTTTGCTTGATGAAATAAGCTTATGGCCTTGTCTATGTCTCCATCCTCACATGACCCATATATTAGGGAAATGTATGTGACTTGGTCCGGCAGAAAGCCTTTATAGGCTGCATCATTGAGAACTTTATCTGCACTTTGTACCATCCCCAATTTGCAGTATCCATCAATTATTATGTTGTATGAAAAAGAATCAGGCATAAACCCACTATTTACCATTTTGTGCAAATAAGACTCAGCTTCGACAACCTTTAAGTTCTTGCACAAGCCGCGTATAATTGTATTATAAGTAACAACATCTGGAGTAAATCCTCCTCTTGCTGCAGTGTCTAACATCTTGATGGCCTCATCTGGTCTCCCATTTCTACAAAGGCCATGAGTAAAGATATTAAATGTAAACAAATTTGGGGAAACCCCCCTTTTAAAGACCTTGTCAAGAAGTCTTTCGCTTTCTTTTATATCTCCCTGCTTACAATGTGTGTGTATAAGCTTGTTAAATGTAATTACATTAGGAACTATTCCCATGCTAAGCATCTCCTCAAACAGTTCATTGGCCTCAACATGACAATTCACTTCGTAAAATCCACCAATGACTGTACAGTATGCAACTGCATTGAGCCCACATCCCTGAGATGGCATGTTGTGCAGAAGCCTCAAAGCAACATGAGGCCTATTTGAGTTACAAAAAGACTTCATCCTTATGGTGAAAGTATACACATCAGGAGTGACGCCCTTGTCTCTCATGGTCATATAAACTTTATGCGCTTGGTTATACTGCCCATGCTCAACCAATATATTCATCACCGCATTATAAGACTGCACGGATGGATCACAATTGTAAAAATCCATCCTTTCAAACACATTAGCTGCCTCCTGAATCCTTCCTTTCTTTCCATAACTTCTAATAGCACTAATATACACACACTCAAGCAATCTATTATCAAAATTCACCCTCATCTCCTCAAGCAGATGTTCCATAGCCTCAAATTCCCCATGGTGACCGAGCTTTTCTATCATGCATTTGTAAGTAAACAAGTTATGATTAAACCCTTCATCTTTTTTCACAGAATTGAACATTTCTAAGGCTTTCAATGGATTCTTTTGGCATCTTATGATGGCTGATACATGCTTAGGAAGCACAACAGAGCTCATTCCCGAATCAATGCTAAAATTCTTTTAGCAAGTGCGACATTAACCCATCAAACACACCTCAACCTTCATGTTTTCAACTGTTCCCATAACTTGCAACACTTCAACTAGCTATGGAGCACGGATACGCCAAACCTGGAGACAAACCGCGCGCTGTGAGACTTCCAAAAGACCTAGGGGACACTCCGAGGCAGGGGCGGATGATTGTGAGGGCAGGGATGTGCCCTACCCGGTCCAACTTTTTTTATAATTAGTATAGGTATAGGGGGCAAATTATACCGTGGGATCGGTACACCATGTGCATGGTGTACAGGTCCCAAAACTACGTAGTTTTATTAATTAAAAAGGCAAGCAACTCTCTGTTCCCTAAAGTTAAACCCAGTGCCGCCGATAAACAATAACCCAAGATCAACAAAAGGACTACGTAATTGATTAAAACTAGCCAAAGATCAAATTGAAGGTTCAAATTCATACAAAAGCATTACTGCAACCTGAAAAGATGCATGTGTAAACATCTAAATCGACACTTACATACAGATTAACATATGTTTCGATCCAATATCCAAAGGAAGGGATTCCATATCGATCCATTACACACACACCAGAGTGTAAACATGGTTTCAAGAAACTTAAGAGATTTTCTTTACGCATCAGTTCATATCATCTGGAATTGGTAATTAACCTCGGTGAACAATTAATATTTTTTATGCATCTGGATCAATTAATATTGTATGTCAATCTTATACAGTATTGGACAAATTACATGTTGAAGATGACTGCTATGAATTATTTTACACCTTTCTCAATTTACATCTTGCACACACTCAAGTTACATCAGAGTTTGCCTAAAGTTACATATCTATAAGTGTTGAGTTACATGTCAACTTTTTTCAACAAGTTACACCCCACTAACACGTGAATTACATTTTCTATGATCCGAGTTACACCATAATATAATGCGAGTTACACAACACAATAAGCTTCTGTTATTCAAGGAAAAATTATTTTTATAAAAAATCATAGTTATAGCTCTCATATTAAAAACAAAACATAAACATTATTTATGTAAAATAATTGGACAATTAGACTCCCTTTTCATTATTTACATTGAAATCAATGCCTTACTTCTTATACTTTCATTTACCCAACTTACATTTCAATTTGACTCAAGTTACATTTCTTTTCAATGTAAGTTACATTCCTTTAAACACGAATTACATCAATCTGCTTTTAAAATTTAAAAAGAAAAGCCCTGGAGCAGTGGGAGCAGGATGCTCACCCTGAGCCGCTCCCACGGTATACCAACTGGTATAGGGGGTTAAATGAACCAAATCTAGTGTTAGTGAAATATAAATTCAGCGCATTAGGCTCTGATTTAAAAAATGCGTTGAACCTCACTGTGTTTTAATTAATCATGCCCAGAATCTCCTTCAAGAACAAATTTTACAATTTTGAAATCACTTTTTTAATGATATTGTTGAATATACAAGTAACTTTGTCAAAATTTCTAAATTATACAAAAAATCTAATCATTTTTCATCTTTTTTTAAATTAAATTTGTTCTTGCAGGGGTTTGGCCAGATTTAAATCTCATCGGAATTTATATTTCATTAAGGGCTTTGGGGCATTAAACCAACCATAGGTATAGTAAATCAGCCCACCCCAAAATTTATTTTCATCCCACCCCAAAATTAATTCCCAGGCTAATTGAAGTTACCTGCGTTTTGCGCTTGCGAACTGGCCGATTCAAGAAGAAAATCGAAGCCAAGAAGACGGAGCTTCAGCGCTTGCGAGTTGCGACGAAGAAGGGAACACCAAGCCACCGCCGTCCACGCCGCTCGTCTAGGGCCCTGCGATCTGCCTCGTTGGCCGTCCTTCAGGCTTCCCCTCTGAACTCCGTCTCTGGGCTCTGCCTCAGTCCCTCTAGCTCCACCGCTCTTCCACTAAATAAAAATAAAAGGATAATTGCAAAATAATACGGAATAGTGTTTTTTAAAATCATTATAAAATATAAAAAAATTAAAATAAAAAAATTACAATCGTAAAGAAAAATAAATATATAGAAAAGATTGCCAAGTTGGAAGAAAAATGTCATTGTGACGGCAATTTTGAACAGAAAGTTGGATATTTTCAAACAGTAAAAATTTATCGTGACGGCAATTTTGAAGAGAAAGTTGGATATCTTCATGGCATTTTCAGAGAAATGTGCCATTTTTAAATACAATGGCATTTTTTCGACAAACAGAGCTGGTGGTGCTGGGAGGTAGAGGAGTCGTTGGCAGTGACCTGCATATTTTTTAAATATTTTTTAGGTATTTTATTTTTTAGACTTCTTTTAAATTTTTTTAAGAGAGAATTCCCTAAATAGGAGTAAAAAGTTTTGAAATTCCAAAATAGGAGTATCATGTTTTTAATTCCCTAAATAGGAGTAAATTTCTGCCAAGTTTGGCATTACTAGGCTTTAAAACATAGTATTTTTCCAAACTTGGCAGATCACTCCTATTCATGGAATAAAAAACATGATACTCATGTTTTGGAATTCCAAAACTTTTTTACTCCTATTTAGGGCAATTTCTATTTTTTTAAATATTTTATTTATTTATTTTAATTTTTCTATTTTTTATTTTATTTTTTCACGTTTTTATTATTAATTTATAAATATTTATTATTTTTATATTTTTTATTATATATAAAAATATGATTTTCTTATTAATAAAATAAATCTTTTGGAAATTATAGGAAGAGGGTAGAATGAGAAAAGTGGACATATATTAATCATATTTTGGGAATAAAGGGATTGTACTCCTATTGTTGAATTTTGGGCTAATTTTAGTCCTATTAAGGGCTAATTCCCGATTGTGATATTGTATATTAGTACGTATTATTTTTAGGCTTTTAGTGTTAGGGTTAGTCCGTTAGTTAAGCAAATTGATTACTAATTGAATCTTTTAGTGCATAATAAAATAGTGTTTAACTTATTATAAGTTTATAAATTATAATAATTAAAGATAGAATTAAAAATTAGAAAATGATTTATTTATTTTACAATTGAAGATTAGCGAATGATTTGTTTATTGTGTCGAAAGAATTTTAATTTCAATTGAATTCTGAAATTGGGAATACTTATTAGGATGTTTTTACCTAGACTGTAATTCATCCCAGACTAGACCAGATCAGACCAGACCAGACCAGACCAGACCAGGCTTGGATAGTTATAAAAATACAAAGAAATCAGACCAGATCAAACCAGACCAGACCAGCAAATTACAGTCCAAGTAAAAACATCCTTAGTTTTATGTACAACGATTGTTTTTTCCTTATTAGTTTTATAATTTTATAGAAGTATTTTAATTTATACGAATATTGGAAATATTTTTTTGAATAGATAATGAACACATTGCCAAGAAAGAAAAGAAGTTGATTTCGTCATTCTTTTCAAAAGTGAATCGTCAAAGTGGTGAAGGGTGTTCTGAATCTATGACAGTGAGGATATTTGTAAACTTGCACAAAAGTTTTATCCTGCATATTTCATCTCAAGACATTGTCTCACTTGAGTTTGAGTTGATTCACTACAAACTTAATATTATTTCAACATCTCAAGTTTTGGAACTTGTTGAGTTATGTCAATATTTGACGAAGAGCGAGAAATCAGAAATTTATGTTATGCTGACATGATTAATTCGTCTTGTTTTCACCTTACATGTTTCTACCACTACTACGGAAAGAGCATTTTCAGCAATGGAGCATGTGTAGATAGCGCTTCGTAACAAAATGAGAGATAATTTTCTTGAATATTCATTGATGATCTACATTGAATGAGATTTTGTCAAAAATATGGATGTAAATTCTATTATTGATCAATTTTATACTTTAAAGTCGTGTAGGGCACAACTTAAATGATGCTTTGATGAATATTTAAAGTGTTGACGCCTTGACGTATTATTGTGTATGTGTCTTTCAAATTATTTTTTTAGTCCACCCCATTGTAACTTTCTGGCTCCGCCCCTGCTCCGAGCTCCATCCTGTTGACCAGAGAATGGCCAAGGATAGTAAGCACGGGCGTTGGTGGTGAAAGAGGACGATGGAGTGGTTTGGAATTTTTATCAAAAAGGGCCAAAAAGTATACCAATAGACTTGTGTGGTATACACTATTTTTTTATACATGGGAAAGGAGGTATATAGTGACCCAATGTTGTTGATTTTATTCTGGTCCCAGTATAACCATTGTTTTCGAAAACATCAAATTGAAGAGCATACTGGTTTATGATGAGGTGTTTTGCTTCGATCATCGACTTTAAAACAGTTATATGAGCACAGCACCCCTTCAATGGTGTTGCCTACAGGTGTGTCCACCTGCTTCCACACTTTGTCCGTGGAACATGCAAGTGTGACGATGTTATTAAGAAAAACTAAGTCTATGTGGTTCACATTGATTAAATAAAGTAGGAATAAAATAAGAATGCTTTAGAGTCTCACAAACTTTTTCAATTTGATATGAAACAATTTTAATGGGAATTCTCGAAAAGGAAAATGACAACTTAGTAGGACGGAAGTATCATTTGAAATAGAGTTTATACAATCTAACTGTTTCACCATTTTAGATTTAAAATAATTAAAATTGTCAACCATCAATCGTTATATTATGGAGAGCAACCCATTGATTATCAAACCATCCCCTCATGGTTAATAATTGTAATTGAGTTTAAATTTTAATTAAAAAGGGTAAGATATTTTAAATATCCTAAAATTTAGAGGGTTGTGAAGTAAGTACTCCAAACCTGCGTATGTAATATGTATATCTCAAACTTCATATGAAAATTTATCTTAACATCATGATCCCATGCTTTTTCTTTTACAAATGTAATCTTATGTTGTTAATTGTACACTATTTACAATACAATAAAAATTTATGGTGATGAAGTTAATGTTCTAAGCGTTCATTTGCAAAATATATAATATTACCTCTTATCACATACCATGTACTCAAGCTTTCTTTATTTTTTATAGTTGAAATTTTAGCTTTTACTCTATTTAATTAAATACACTACTTTAACTTTTACGTTATTCATACACTCTCCTCTCTCCTCTGACTCTATTTAATTTATTAAAGAATTAAACAATTGCCCTAAAGAAAATATTACTTCACAAAAAAGTTGTTTGTCCCTATATCATTCAACAATCATATAAAATAGAGAGTAGAGAACAAACAATGTAACTTTGATTCAATACCAAACAAAGATCTCGAAATACAGAACAGGGTATCGAGAAACAAAGGTTGCGGCTCTCTCTCTTTCTAGACTGATATGCGTGAATAATCTGTTAAGGCTTAGGGTTTCTCTTAAGTTAGCATCCTTTTATACATAAGGATGACTAACTTAAGGCTTACACGTGGGCTAATAGACTGAAATACATTTGTGGCCCATATTACACATTTAATTAATAACTACACAAATACAAAAAATATTTAATTAGATTGGACACCATAAAATATTCCCAACAATCTCCCCCTTGGTGTTCAATCGTGTTCAACCAGCATTGCAACGCGGATATCTTTGTCTTTGTGTTTTTTCAGCAATGTAGAGGAGAGCATAGATAAAATCTGTTGAGTTACTCCTCTATTGTCTTGATCTTCAGTGCAGCTCAACTTCCTTTGTCTTCGTGTTGAACTCGACTTCTTAAGAAGGCTTTCTGAAGAAATCCTTGCAATCTCACCTTTGATGTCTTCTTGGCAATTTGATCTTTGATGTCGGGGTTGAGGAATCTTGAAAATCTTGCTTGTAATCCTTGCCTTTCAGAAGTTACTCATGATCATCTTGACTTCAAATCCGAAGGCGCCTCTAGAATGAATGTTCTTGAAGAATTGCAGACGCACATGGGATTCGATTACTTGACCTTTGTCCTCTACAATGTAGTCTTTTTGACTATTTGAGGTGAGTGCTTTTGAGGAGAACTTGTCAGTGGCACAACGGAAAATAATGGTTTACTTGTGAGCGTAGCTGACCATTTGATGTGAAGCTGACTTGGTAGTCTTGATGATTTGAGAAGTAGAAAGCTGTCATTGATTTTTGTGGTGGAGGAAGGAAGTGTCCGAGAATGATTTTTGAGTAAACAGCATGCAAATCACTTTTTTTAGAGAATGAAGCACAAAATAGTAATTTCATCATATAGTTGAAAATCGGAATGTCAATACTCCTGCAAAACAGATGTAACTGAAACATTGAGAAGGGAAAATACAGAAGCAAGAGAGATCAGCGTAAGGTGCAGATGATACGAGGTCAAAGACGTAAATCTACTTGGATCTCTGTCTCTCTCATCTTTCAACGCTTCCTCTTGAGCCTCCTCATACGCTTCTTCTTCCACTTGGCTCTCATGCTCATGTGTTTTGTTAGGTTTCAAAGAGGCTTAATTATGATGGGGCGATGCAAAAAATTGTGTTCAATCATAGAGGAGAGCGTGGGTTCATATCCCACAGCTGTCACCATGCCTAAGCCTTATCCGCATATTTATATGCGCAGGTAGGATTGCGTAAAGACTTTATGCAAGGAATATGGGCCTGACAACTTTGGCATCATATCCTTTTCTAGCCTATTTGTTAAGTTACACATGCATGGCATGCATACGCATGCATGCACGGCACGGCCGGTCAACGCCGAATCTCATCACTTTTATTCCCATAATTATATTATGTATATTATTCATATTATATTTGCATATATTTAGCTACCTTATGTGGCACATACGTTATACGCACTACTAGCTCTAATTAGTTACCTTGTATATATTCTTACTATTATTAGTGGAGAGATCAGTGCTTCTCTAATTATAACATCCGAACCAATAGGGTAACATATGTTCATGTAACATGTATATATATTGATTGGATCAATACGAAAACATCACGGTGAAAATTCACAAGCTCTAATTTGGTATCAGAGCTTCGGTTATCTTCTTCTTCTCCCT